TACTCTTCCACCTAACTGTATGTTATAACACAATATTTTATAACTGAATTCAAAGTCTACTCTTCAACCTACCAATTAAGTAAAATAATTTTCTTAGTGAATCACAACTGGCACACTATAAGAGATAACTATAACATTTAGATAAAGTGACCTACCATAAAAAAAATTACCTAAGTACTATTTTTAAAGTTCTCTAAAATGTATATTAGAATTTAGCTAAGTTTCAACTATTTCATTAAGTCTCTCATAAAAGATTATGGCTTTTTACTGGGTTTTAGCATAATATAATGTATTGGGACAACATGGGACCTAATGGTCCATCTCAGATGTCCCATCCTCGAAACTAAACTAAAAATATTAATAGATAAATTTTTAAAATATCTTAAAGCCAGCCTTTATCATTCATATAATTAAAGCTTTCTCTTAAAATCACTTAAACTTACTGCCTCTACAACATCTGATGGCAACCTGTTCCAAAGGCCAATTATCCTATTAGAAAAATAAAACTGTCTTGGCTGAAGAAAACTCCTACCCTGCCAAAATATATATTTGTATCCACTAGTCCTACCATTCTCACCATTAAGTATGAAAAAAAAAATTATGCATCAACACTATCAATTCCCTTTAAAATCTTAAACACCTCAATCAGATCCCTTCTAACTCTTCTTTTTTCAAGATAAAATAATTTGAAAGATTTCAACCTCTCCTTATATGACAGCCCCTCCATCCCAAGCACCATTCTAGCAACCCTCCTCTGAACCCTTTCCAACAATTCAATGTCCTTCCTAAGGTAAGAAGCCCAGGACTATACACAATACTCCAAATTTGACCTAACCAGTGACCTGTACAATGAAATTATAACCTCTTTAGACTTGTATTCAATATTTATGTAGATACCGCCTAAAATCCCATTTGCCTTACCACTAGCAACAGCACACTACTTGGATAGCATAAGAGACTGATCATCCATTACACCAAGATCCCTTTCTTTCATGACACTGTTAAGGTTATTCCCATCCAATTTATATTAATAATCCAAATTATGATAACCCATAACCCATATGCATTATCATGCATTTATTATAATTAAAATCCATCTCCCATTTACTTCCCCAACTCACTAAATCATCTAAATCCTTTTGTAAATCAACAGCATCCTCTTCACAGCTAGCAACACCCAAGACCTTAATATCATCTGCAAATTTAAATAATTTATCGACTATCCCTTCATCTATGTCAATGATGTAAATCAAAAAAGAGCAAAGGTCCTAAGACTGAGCCCTGAGGTACCCCACTTGTGATATTAATCCAGTTTGACTGAACTCCATTTGTAACAACCCTCTGCTTTCTTTAATCTAGCCACTCTTCTATCCAATTTGCTAACTTATCCCCCTACACCTATAGAGATAATTTTTTTATAAGCCTTTTATGTGGTACTTATTAAAATCAAAACAATCCTTGAAAAAGGAGGGATCAAACTGTAGTACATTGACTGCATGGTATCTATTATTTTGAAAACCTAACTGACTGACAAAAAGTTAAGCTGTAACTAAGAAGTCATTGAAATAAATCACTCAAGCTCAATTTATAAAACAGAGCTGCATAACTTTTTTCATGAATTAAAACAAACACACAATAATTACAATTATCTTTGATGCTGATATGCTCTTTCCCTAGAATGATGTCAATCATTTATCTACCTCATCAATGTCTTGAACAAATTATTCTCACAATGTACTAACCTTGAATAGCTTTTTACTCTGTTGTGGTTAAAATATACATATTCAAGAATTTATTTAGAAGCATGACTCTTATGGCAAAATACTTGGGTAGTAACCCTAAAGCCTAGTGAAGCAACAGTAGTATGTGCAAAATCTCTCTCTCTCTCTCTCATAAATATATATATAGCAAATTGCAACCAACATCTTCACAGGTTTGTCCTCAAAAAAAAAAATCACCCATAAACAGGTTCTTATGGATATAGCAAATTGCAACCAATATCTTCATATTTGTCCTGAAAAAGAAATATCCTATAAACAGGTTCTTATGTACATAGCAAATTGCAACCAACATCTTCAGATTTGTACTGAAACAAAAAATCTCCCATGAACAGGTTCTTATGTCTGTTAGCACCAATTCTTCATGTCGTGAAAAGATTATTGCACTTATTCTATGCAGTATACTGCTAATTTTATTTTTATGACAAAAACACTAAAAATTATTACAGCAGATCATTTTTAAACAAGTAATTTCACACATTTGTTTAGAATTATAATATGCACTAAAAACTTTAAATTAATGCAAATATACCTAGTCCATTTCTGAATTTATACCCACAAAATATTTAGTTAAACTTGTAAAACTACTAACAGCTTTGATGATAATTCCTTTACGAGAATAATATTGCTAAATGGTACATATTTTTACATTAACTGCTTATTGGAATGAAATTGTTTTCTCTAAATCATCAAATTCCAAAATCTGGCACTGAAATGAAAAATGTTATAAAGTAAACAACTGATCTTTCTTTCATTTCATATTAAGAGCGCCACCTATCAGCAATATAAAATAATATTGTATAATTGGTTTACTACTGTTGAATTTGTATTATATTCAAAATTCAAAGATATAATGAACTCCATTATTGGATTCAATTATAGCAACTTGAGTTAATATAGTTTAAAAACGTTTCAGAAACTACATGAAATTTCTTTTTTTTTTTTACTTGAAGAAAAGCACTAAAATGGGCTGTGTTGTGGCCAATGCAGGGATCAAACCCTTAAAGTTAATGTTATAAGCCCTTCAGCTTATTACTGAGCTACTAGGAGATGGTTTACAACTGACTCCATAGTAATGCAAAATACTGTCTTATAGAAACTGCAAAAGACTTGAAGTGGTCTACACTTCCTGCTATTGTATCATGTATGCTACTGACAAAAAGAGTGTAAATTAAAGTAAAACTTGGTATTAATGTGCAGATGCATTTCCTGCAGAAACAGTGTTATTCCTTTCTATGATGCCTAACGTTATTAAAAAAAATCCTCATCTTACTAAGATGTTTTAAATAAAGTTTTTATGGTGTGATAATACTAAATAGGTGATTTGATTTGCAATAAAAAACAAAGCTCATAACCGACACAATTGATAAAATAATATTATATTGTTAAACAATTTGCTTCCTCAGCTAATTCAAAATAGTTCACTCCATGATACACATATGATGCTAGACAAGAATTGGCTGTAACACAATCTTTAATTAGAAAACCAAAAACAAGGTATAAAGCATTTCAATTGAGATAATTCAAGCTATAACTAGCGAACCAAAATCAAAGTTAAAAACACTTCAATTGAATAAACTCAAGAATAGCAAGTAATACAAAACAAACAAAAAATAAAAGAATGTGCTTTCACAATGTTTCTCAATTTATCCCAAAACATGGTAGTTTATGTTGAATAAATGTTCAAAAAATCCTGATAAGCTACAAATCAGATAGGGTGCATTTTGTTTGTCTGTTATATTTCACGCAAAACTACACAAGGACTATCTGTGCTAGCTGTTTCAATTTCAAAGTGACAGACTAGAAAAAAGGGAGCTAGATAACACCACCTACTGCCAACTCTTGAGCTGCTCTGGTCAGTGGGATTTGAATATCACTCTTATAATGCACCCACAGCCCCAAAGTGTAGAGAGCGATTGTTTTTCATGTGTATGATAACAGAAAATAAACCACATAAACTCAATTCCATAGAATGTCACACCAACCACTGGGCCATCTTCAGCCCTAGTGAGATGGAATATAGTGTTATATTCTCATATCTTTTAAAGTAGAAAAAACTGTGATATTCGGAAACGAGGAAAAAAAACAAAGACAATTGTACATTTCACAAATACTTCATTTACTAAAAACATGGTTTTGCCAATAAAGGCATCATCAAGTACAGAATAAAATTGTTTGTAAACAGGTTTATATACGTTTAACCAAAGAACCAGAAGTAACCTTTTCATTCACTTCGAATACAGTGAAAGTCAAAAGAACACCGCAGCCAGCATTTCTGAAAAATGCCTTTAAAAAAGCTGGTATTCTAAAGGACATAACTTTATCAGCCTGAAAACCAATTAGCAAAAAGCAAGACTAATAAAGATCTGTATTATACTTCATTTATTGTTTACTAATAAGACTGAATTCATCCTATTACTGTGAATTCCCAGAATCAGAATTCTTGTGAATTTCATTATTACAAATTTGGGCAAAAAACCATGACACAGAAAGAAAAACATTAAAAAAATCTCTCTCTTTCTATGTAAATCATCTCATGTTATTAGCATACTTATGAGATGGTATTTCAAGAAAAGAAACGTCTTACTTTTTGTTTGTTTATTCATTTTTAATCATAAAGCTACACTGAGCTATATGTGTTCTGCTCTCCACAGATATTGAAACCCAATTTTGTGTGTTAGAAACCTTTAGACTTACCACTGAGTCTCTGGTGGTCATCTTAGTTAAATGCATAGCTTTTCTGAACAACTATTAAAAAAACTATACAACTTACTGTCAATTCAATACACAATAATTGGTCTGACCTTCTAATGTTCAGAATGTATGTTACAAATGCTTGCACAATGCAGTAAGATAAGCTAGATTGTGGAAAAAGCATAATATTGAAGCCAAAAAAAAAGATCCATTTTTGATAATTTTTGTTTATTTTTAAAATGCTATATTTTACTCATTAATTTTCAGCAAGTGATAATTGCTTGACAAAACAATTCCAGTATTTTCATTGATCCATGATAGACATTACAGACTCTTTTCTATAATATTTACCTCCTGTGAACAAGTACCTTCAGTTTTAAATACCAAGTTACATTAAGATCGTAAAATAAAAAAAATAATTTATGAAAATGAAGTGTAATAACAATTTTTATATATATGAACACACAAGAGTGTACGTATGTATGCCAATTAGTAGTCTATTTAATCAATAAATGCTTCAAAACATACCATATCATAGTCCAATCTATTCTCAGATGTCCTGACATATTCTGCAAAGATTTCAAACTCTAGGTCTGTCAAATCCAACAAACTCTGAACATTTTTGTCTGTGCAGTGAAGTATAGCTTGGCCACTCCCATCATCTACCAACACACTTGAAAAAATATTTTATAATTCTACAACCAAATCACTTACACAAACTTTCTTTTATTTCAAATGTCAATAACATAAAACATCTAAACTGCCACTTTCCTTACACGTGTAGGCCATACAAATGATACATTATATGTATATATTTTTTTTCTTTTTCTCAAATCATCCATATGTTATGCAGCCAAATCAAAAACCACTAAATAATTATCCCTTAAAAATTTGTTTGGCTGTATTGCAATATTCATATTAAATATATTGACCACAAGTGACTAGAAAGGATGCATAAATCAAAATGCCACATTCATTTAAATGTCTCTGTAATTACAAATAAACAGAGATATACTAGCATTTAATAAAAATTACTCTGTAAAATAACTGAGAAACAGATATAAAAATATATCTTTTTTATAAATAAACTAGTATAAAAGCCAGTCAAAAATGATGGGATGCCAAAGCCTACCAAATTTGAATCCTCCAATATGCATTTGCATTTATTTAGCATGAATTGAAATTAATTTGCTGTTTGTTATGAAAAGTTTTTAAATGATGATTGAGTATTTATAAGAAATGTGGTTTTAAGAGAACTATTTCAATAATTCAATTAGAAAATAACTGATCAATGAATGCTGGGACAAGAAGTGATGCTCAGAAGAGACATTCTTTAGGTAAAAGAAAGATTGATCATGATAGGCTTTGGTTTTCCGATGCTAGAAGGCCCTTTATTATTCTTATTTATGTTTATGAGTGACAAAGTTCCTTGGTATAAAACTCCCTCTTTGACAGGCTTTTAGATAGCAATAAAAGTGCTGAACTTTAGGAGTTATTTATGCCTATATTAGCAACTGAATTCAACTAAAGTGGGAAAGAGCAATGAAAAGAGGAAGTATTATACGAGAAAAGTGGAATTGGACTCGTGTAACTTACAAAATTTGGAGAAATTGAGCATGACCAACTGAATGACTGACCGAAACTTGGCTTTTATGATTATGATAAGTTTACAATAAAAAATTAATATACCTTATTAATAAGGTTTTGAAAACAAACTACTGTTTCTCGAAAAAATGTCTTAATATTATGTACACACAAAATCGCATGGGTACATGTATGCTAAAATAAATCTTTAGTTCAAGAGTCTTATCTGTATGATACGATTTCCATAGGCAAGCTATACGTCTTTCCTACTATACAAAATATATCTAAAAACTAAAATATATTTGGGCTTAGACCACAAGAAAGGTACTGAAAAAACACAAGTTTCATCAAAAATTGACAATATATAAATTGCCTGAATAAAAGCCAATTCTTAATTATTTGTTAAATTACCTAGCAGTAAATCATCATATTTCCAAAGATTTTACTATTTCATTACTCTCAACATAAACAATGTGATGATTACTATCAAAAGAATGTAAATCTTACAAACTTACCGAGCTTTGGCTTCTACTTTGCATCCACTTCCAAAATGCTGTTCACATGGCCAAGATCCTGAACAATGAATGCAAACTGGAAACATTTCTACATGCAGAACAAGAAGTATATGGCATAATGTTCGGAACTGTATCTGATCAGTAGTTACTTTACAGAAAAAATTCCAAGGTGTCGGTGTTTTCCTGGTTGTAATGTTTGATTTGCTATCTTGACTGAAGTCTTTCCTGTGGGATATAAAAATAAATATAGGTTAACATGAACTTTAAGAATATATAATATGCTACTTTCAGTCGGAGAATTCTGTAATAGTAAGCCATAGAAAGAGCTTGTTTTAGAACTTTTCACAAAAGCTGCTAGGAGGCTACCTGCACTTGACTATCCATAATTTTGAAGTAATAGAATACAATAAATGCAATTAGTTAATGCCACCCACCAACAACTCTTTGGCTACTCTTATCTGCCCATTTAGTGGGATTTGACCATCACTCTTATAACACACATAAGACCCAAAAGAGCAGAGTGCATTTTCGTGGCAGTGAGATGCAAACCATGAACTCTCAGATTCAGAGTCCAAGCACACTAACCACTAGACCATGCCTGGTCCCCAAAGAATGTAGCAACAGTAATGGAAAGCAGGTCTAGAATTGATTTTCACTTCTGTTTATGTAGTTTTATCTTAACGTGGCTCGTCTTTGCACCTTGATGAATAAATTGCTACTCAGTTTAACCTATGTGCTAGAAAAAAGTCTTTGAATGAAATGTTAGCATGTCCTCATCCAAGATCTGACAGCTTACATTCTCCAAATATAATTCTATAAAGACCATATCTCAAAATACAGCAAGCATTTGCATTATGTACAGCAAATGCACAAGCTACAATTAGCCTGAGAATAACAATAACTGTAGACCAGTAAACATCTTGAAAATAATATCATACTCTTTAAGGTGGGCCTTTCTTCATCATTTCATCCTTGATGAAAGTATATTCACCTTTTGATAGCACTTAAGTTAACAAGCTCCTTTTAAAACTTTCTGTGATTATTTCAGTACCAGAAACATTAACGTGTATAGCAAATCTCATTGCAACAAATGACAGTAATACTAAATTATCAAATATATTCAAGACATACCCTGCTCTGTAAATCATCTTCTCAAGAACTATCCTCACTATAACAATCAAAGACCAGAAAATATACAGAAGATAAACACATACAGGACTGTAGAAAGTATTTCTTTGGGTATTAGATACAAATATTACAGACCAAAAAACATATGGAAGATAAACACGATGGACTGTAGAAAGTATTTCTGTTGGTATTAGGTATAAGTATTACAGACCAACATACATATGGAAGATAAACACATACCTACTGTAGAAAGTATTTCTTCAGGTATTAGATACAAACACTCCAGACAAACATATGGAAGATAAACACATACCTAAAGTAGAAAGTTATCATTTTCCTAAACTGAAAATGTATTTCCAACCACATTTACCTCTGCTGATACTAATAGCTATTTCTCGATGTTCATCTTTGCCATCTAACGTTGTATTCGCTTGCTCCAATCTTTATATACCCCACTCAATTGCCCCTGGCAATATCTAATGTGCAAAACTTTATGCCAGGCCTCAAACACCCTCTATGCAGGTCTTGTATATAAGCATTATATGCAGACAATAATATCACTTTTTTGTAATTTACCTCATTCCGGTCACTAACATCAGCTGTTAGTGGGGAGGAAGGGAGGGAGAGTGTCAGCGGAGGTTTAGGAAAATGATAACTTCCAAAACATACATACCTCTGCTGACACCAACAGATAGAATCCCACTTTGAGAAGGCAGAGGGGCCGGCAAGGACAGAGATCATACAGAAAGAATCTGCAGAGAACAACTATGTACCACGAGAAGTGGTATCAAAGTGGGGAACACCACATTACATCCAGAACAGGTATGCTCTTCACTACAGAATATTGGAAAGGGTGGAATATAATACAAGTATAATGGTCCAGCCCCAACCAAACAGCCATCGTTCCACAACTCGGGTTGGATTTAAGGAGTCATGGTACCCCAGTTGGTGGTCAGGGCAATTGGACCTCAGATATATATCCCTTCCAGTATGAAAGAAAGCAACACCAATGTGGACAATCCTTCTGATCAACCTGAAGAGGTACAAAAGGCAACTTCCCAGGTCTGAATTGATGGGATCATATACCATACTCCACCAAAGTCCAGAACCCATCCAGTCTGGATTTACAAACAGTTGTCTTTACTCCCCCACCAAGTGGGCAAGGATAATTCTGCTTACCCATAGAATTATGGAGAGGATGTGGAACACTGTCCCACCAAGGACCAAAGTTGGGACCTTGTTGCGTTCGGATTTACGAGGAGGTAGTAGACCCCCTGCATGAACAACATAAGACCTCCTTACAGTGTTCATAAGAGGGTCCAAGCACCCCCTCACTGGATAGCTAAGCATCAAATCTGGACAGGTTTTATGAGTAGGCTCCTGCATAGGTTGGTCCCCAACTTCGCCCTCTTCTCCAAGAGTGGAGGAAACTCAACACTCCAAAATGACTGGGAACTGGGTGTGGTAAGGACTTCCGAGCTCCACAAATAGAAGTGAGGGTGAAACATATGCATTGGGGAGTCCTGAGAAACAGGTCTCTGGAGACAATGCAATAGGTGAACCACGTTCCCTAATTTGTGAAAGCAAACTGATCTCGACTGATTCAGCTCTAAGATCAGCAGGGACTGGCAAAATCCCCTTTAGCTTTACTCATGATAGTCCATGAGTAGCATTCCATTAGAAATATTGTAATAAGATTTCACCATCCAGAATTGCGTGCAGATGGTGGAACACCATCATCTCGACAGAACCCAATGCTACCAGGAACCAATATAGAGGTTGCTGGTGTAGAATTTAAATACAAGCATACCCAACTGGGCAACAGTCACCACTGAGTGAGTTCCAAAAGAAATCAATAGGGGCCCTAGAAGAGAAAAGAACAGTAACTGTAAGTCAGATAATATGTTACACACCTCCTTTTTAAAATCTAGTAGACGTTTGCAAATTAGATATTGCCAAGGGCAGTCAAGTGGGGTATATAAAGACTGTAGCAAGCAAACACAACATTAGATGGCAAAGAAGAAGAAGACTGAGAAATAGCTATTAGTGTCAGTGGAGGTATGTATGTATGTATGTATGTTTTGGAATATTTCTTCAGGTGTTAAATGCAAATATTACAGACCAACAAATGTATGGAAGGTAAACACAACTAACTGTAGAAAGTATTTCTTCAGGTATTTGAAACAAATATTACTGCTCTCATTACATTAACAACATTGATAACCAGTCTAAATCACCCTGGAAATATAAGGACAGTTGTCCAGTATAAGGTCTAAATTACCCTGAAAATATAGTCAGTTAGTCAGTATAATGTACAGGTTTCTTAAGATATGTTTACTGAAAATCAAATAAATATTAACAAACCTATAAAGGTCTGTATTAATCTCCCAATCCACTCTCACTACTCAATGCCTAGCATAGATGTGGCTTTTAGGTAAATATTTCCTTTCTGAGAGGAGAGTCTTCTAAGACCAGATATTTCAACAACTGCACCAGGTACCAACCCCAAAGGGAAACTGTGCCGTGGAATATCAGATAAGTACACAGACACTCTATGGTTTGATGAACAGTCTTCCAACATAAAGCCAATGTTAAAATCTTCAGGACATACCGAGTACTTCACTGGCTGTAGCCACTTCCCAACAATTCGACCTTGTACACTATAACTCTGTTTATGTGAACACCTAAAAAAATAAATGAATTCCATAACAATTTTCACTTTAAATTATGTTTTATTTTAATAAATTAAACTACAAAGAGTTATTAATAATAATAATTAAGTTACTGCTGATTTACTTTAGTTGTCATCTGATGATAATTTTGAACACTTTACTAAAAAAAAAGGTGATTTGCCATAATTCAAAAAAATTTAATACATATTAAAATCTTTAAAAATTTACTAAGTTACCATTTTGAAAATAAAGAGAAAAGTTTAAGAAATTCACCTCTTACAAGTAACATTAGTAAGTAGAGCCTAAATCTAATGACAAGCATGTGCAACCATAAGTTAAACCTCAATTACTCATTTATCTAATGTTCTACATTAACACCAAAATTTACATTTAGACATGTTTGAAATATTTCTCAGTTTCAAAAAAATAAAACAAAAACAGGGAGGATAAATATTTGGATAATGTGACATAACTAACAAGTTTAGTAAAATCTACTAAAAACTGCAAGTGCACACTGTGTTTATGAAACACCTATGCCTCACTTTGCCTTTGACCCATGACCTTCAAAACTTATTCTGGTCTAGAACTTTGTACATAGAACCTCTTATATAAATTTGGTCAAAATTCATCCATCAAATCTTGAGGTATTCTGTTTACAACATCAGAACAGACAGGGTCAAATCAATATGCCCCACTCTGATTCACAGTGGGGGCATAATTATATACAATGTTTAGTTGCATAATAATACATATCTATATAAATAACAGAAATATATACTTAACAAAAATGCTTACCACACCCTACACCCTTCATGATATGCAAATTAGCATAGACTGTCTTTCATTTTTTCATAATGAACTATGAGTAAGATTTAGTGTCCCTATTGTTAAAAATGTTGCTAGAAATCATTTTTTTGAAGCTGAAGTAGTTTTAGAAATAGCAATATAATCTGTTTTATATCAACCAAAAAAATGTAAGTCAATTATTTTATTAAATTGAAAATTTCTATAAATAATAAGAAACAATGATTTTCAAACTATTAAAAGAAGTCAAATATTAGTATGAGAAAATACAGCTCTGATGCTAATCTATATATAACTATGAAATGTGTGTTTGTTTGCACCCTAACTCCTCCAAGCCTATCTCAACCAAGATTTGTATGTAAACACTATGTGTATGGGGAATGTACTAAGGGGGTCAAAATTGAACTTAACCCTATTTCTATTTTGTAAAGCCTGTTGGTTAATTACTCTCAGCCTATTGAGTCAATCTCAAACAATTTTGGCAGGTTGACTTTTTAGACAATGTTGAATATTCTAAAGGGATTCAAGATTAAAGTATGAAAGTTGCTGGATTGTTTCTCAAACAACCATGCTTTTCTCATTTCAATGAAATTTAGGGGGTTCAAGGGTGGGATCACCTCAAAAATCTCTATTTGTTGGTAGATCAAAAGCAAACTGCAAATGTTGTTTATGAAGAAGCTTTGTTATAAATTTAAAATTTTGAGATACAGTTCATGTTCAAGTTATTACTTTGAAATATATGATTGCTGTTAAACTTACATTGTTTTAATTAAGTTTAAACATTCACCATCAGTTAATGGGTATTTAAACATTTGACAGTTAAAGGTATATAATGTTTGTTCAATAATTTGAAAGTTTTAAAACAGAAGGATGTTAATTGACTTCAACTTAAAAGAAGTTAAAGCACTGAACCAACAGTTCAAATAGGAGAATTGAGAGAGACATGATTTAACATCACACAGCATGTATTTTATAACATTTCTACCACTTTGATCCAAACCTTTACTCTGAAGTTTAATTGCATAAAAGTGAAATCAACTGATTTATTAGCACATCTACACAAACACATCTAACAATCCATTTTATTCTAAGCTATCAAGTTAATAAATATCAAATATAACCATTTTTACCAAACAAACTGTATAATATTTGCATAAAAAGTCATGTATGAAAATGAAATCAGTTCATAAAAAGGTTTAGTCAAAATTTATAATTTTACCTGGGTGAGAGTATATCCTCAACATGATTAATCTTGCTTGGCTCATTAATCACACAATTCTGTTGGATAAGAAAATTAAAGTAGTTGAGGTATTTATATATATTGGAAGTTTTAAAAAAATCATTACCACATAAAGTTTGTCATGTGGCTAAATGTTATCACTGTGTTCCATCCAAAGATTTTGGGATTAATGCTATATTATGGCTGGGAAGAGGGGGAAAACCTATGCCAAAATTTCTGTACCAAGAAATTTTTTATTTCACACAAATTACTTGTTAATAAAGTGCTGAAAAATAATTTTACATACATAATCAGTTATATTAAAAACTACTGAAATGGCATAACAATATTTCACTATTCCAACCACCAGAAGTACAAACTTAGTACATAATTTAAATTAACAAAGTAAAAGAAAACTACTTTAAATTACTCTACTACAACATTTGGAAATGTTTAGGTTTTTGTCTTGATTTGGATCCAGTATATCCTATGTGCACGAGGTCAGTCCATTGGGCCTTTTTGCCCTCAGACGATGAAAAACCAAAGAACTGTAGGTGTATCTTTCAAGTCTGCTTTTTGTAACAATGTTGGTATTCCACATTTTTGTATTTCAACTATGCAATTTTGAACAAAAAATAAATACTATCATGCACAAAAAACAGAATGCCCTAAACTACTATAACTTAACTGAATTTCTAACTAACCCATAAATTGCAGTGCCCCCCCCCCCCCTTGAATCTGTCCCAGTAAAAATGCATCAAAATTAGAAAAGTTACTCTCGGGAAAAACAGAAGAATGCATAAAATTTCATCCAGAACCCAAGAGCTTCCAAGGCCCTAAGGAGAACCCTAGATTCCAGCCATAATGGGGTGCATCTATAGCACACATTCCCTTGCTTCGCTTGGTCACATAAACCTTGAGCCCCCCACTTTTAATTTGCCTCCTACACCTCTGAATTAGTTGAAAAATTCTGTCAGCTGGTCAAAGCAACATCACAATCAAAATAATGAAACTGAGGCCAAATTTTGAAATCTCTCACTTGAACTAACTGGATTTGTAACTAATTCAGTAAAGTAGAAATGTCAGAAGTAATTACTTTTTTTGAAGGCCAGAATGTGATAAGAGAGGTATGGCATGTAGGTTTAAATTTCTTGTTATATCTCAATAAAGAAACAAGCTTGGGGGCTATAAGTTTACATTATGGCTTAGCAATATCTATAAATGTATAATTTGTGCAAAATAAAATCTATTAATACCAGCAATAAAAATTAACGTTTTTAACTTGGATCATATGCTTACACCTCAGAAAAATATTTCCAAACCACACACACATAATCATAGGGCAAACAAACAATAAAGTGAAAATTTGTTTAATTTCACAAAAACTACTCATGAGCTACCTTCAATAACTGTCTCTAATTTAAAAGTGATAAATTAAAGGGAAGGCAGCTAGTCAACCCCACCCATCACCAACATTTGGACTACTCCAATCAAATAGTGAGATTGACTATCACCTAATACTTCAACAGCTGAAAGGGCAAGCATGTTCAGTGAGGGGATTCAAACCCGTGACCTGCAGATTTCAAGTCAAGTGCCAGGCTCAAGAGAAGGTAGTTACCATAGTTAGTTAGAATACAATTAATAAAGATGTTTATTAATCTTTCATCCTTTAATTACCTATACTTTTCACTTAAATTCAATTAGAAAAATTATATTTTTACAATTTTCTCCATTATAAAACATAAGAATTATCAATACCATAGCAGCTAATAATATTAAAAGCAACAGTAGTACACTTAAAGCTGTTTTTTTATCAAATTACTCTTATTATTAGTATTAATTTCATATCAGAAATAAGTTTTAAAAAGTTTTTTGCCATAATTCACTGCCCATAAGACCTTTCTTCAGTATAGCTCATCATCAGCTAAAATTAATGGGCACATTTGATGCATTATTTGAAACACAAAAATTTGTTACTACAGTATAAAATTGCTATGCTGGCAAAATACAGAGTTTCGATGTGATGAAACTATGTGCTTTTATTAAACACTCCTCTTAACTCCAACACAAGGGCTATCTGCACTAGCCGTCTCTAATTTAGCAGTGTAAGACTAGAGGGAAGACAGCTAGTCATCACCACCCACCACCAACTTTTGGGCTACTCTTTTACCAACAAATAGTGGGATTGACCGTCACGTTATAATGCCCCCACGGCTGAAAGGGAGAGCATGTTTGGTGGGACGGGGATTCGAAACCCGAGACCCGCAGATTGCGAGTCGAGCACCCTAACCACCTGGTCATGCCGGGCTAGGCACAGAAAGTAGAGTATCTTTTTTGGAATATATTATACTATATAAACTTTTGTTATATAAACTTTTTTATATATTTTTGTCATATGCAAAGTGAACACTAAAATATATTTTATAAAGCATGATAAGATCAACAAAGATGAGCTTAAAACTTAAACCAATATTATGAATAATATTCAGAAACCAGCTGTATTCTACCTTTTTAATACATTTTTTTATGCCTCAATATGAATATGTAAATCAGAAAAGAGAAGTATAATGAAATGTCATAACTTGCACCACTACAAATAAATACAAACTGTCAACAAGCAGAAGATTCTTATTAGAATATGAGCCATGTGGTTCTTGCCTATTCAACAACAACAAAAAAGCAATATCTACATTTGGTATTTGAATTTTGACTGAGAATTAACATAAAATCTGTATAACAAGTGCTTTACACTCACTCAGCAGTAAAAAAAAAATTCATAATAAAAGATGCATGGGTAAAAATCATTTTCAGTACATAGTCTGTATAGACTTTACTGTATCAATGTTTTCCATGTACATATGTAATCAGCATTACACATTAATTCCCTTGCTCAGAATTACTGTAAAGCTCCTTCATTACACTTGTCCATCTTTACTATATTCTTATAGAATTAACAAGTCTATATTGTTATGATGGTTCTCACAGTCAGACAAGTGATTGAAAAATACATAGGCTGCACATGCTCAAATCTATCAAACAAATGTAGGAAAACAACACTGTAAAGTATGAATTAAAACTAGAGGTCGACACGTATACAAAATCTGAAATCAGGTACCCCTATGAAAAATACCCAGATCCTGCTTGGGTAGTTAAAGAAATAAATACCTTGCATTAAATTTACCATAAATATTAGTTAAATGCTATAAATCTTACACATACATTTCCTCTCTTCAGATCTATAAAATTCTGTAGCCTCTTTTAATACTGAAAGTGACTTTCAATCTTGTCTATATTATACCAGCTGAAAACACATGCTTACAACTGCATTTTTGTCATGTATTCTGAATTTTCTTTAAATTTCAAATTAATAACTGATACCTGGTAGTAAAAAGAAGGCCCAGATCAGGTAATTTTAAACTAGACATGGATCCATGTTGTAGAGTAACCATGCCAACATCTAATTAAAACACTATTTTTAATTGAAAGTACTTGACACATTTCTGCTGTCCCTGGAGAAGGAAACCAAGGACTTTTGAAATGTGTCAAGTCACATATTTTAAAATCCATGTTTTAATTCATGCTTTACAACATTATTTTAATACCTTAGTTTTATCATATTTGTTTATCTTAGTGCAAAGCTATCAAATGGGCTACCCATATTCTTTCCACTGAGGTGAATGGAATCTTAGCATTCCAAGTCAGTAAACTTACTGCTTTCCCACCAGGGAAGACTTTTACCACAATAACTTAATTTGTGTGTGATGTATTCTTGAGTGAAATAATCAATTTACTTCATCAGAGTGAATAAAATCCTCCAAAAATCCATCCAAAAGTGAAAAGGATAAATTAATAAAAATCAAAAAAAAAAAGAGAAAAACGTTTTGAAACAAGATAAAAATATATTCACAATAATATCTCCAAAAACATATTGGTCAATAATAAAAGTGTGAAATTTCAATCACATTCTACATTAAAATATGATGATTGAAAAAAAAAAAAAACAAGAGAAACAAGATACAGTCAATATACAAACGTTATTATACTAACCAAACTTGATTTGTTCAGAAACTTTATGCCTTCATCATCTCTTTCTTCCATTAAATCTTCAACTTCCACTTTCCCATAAATATTAACTTGTGTAGAAAACATAAAACTTTGAAGAGCTGATTTCAAACGAGCAGAATTGGTGGGATGTCTTTTCCCCAAAAGGGAGTTGTTTGTGAGTATATCTTCTACAGGAATATAAAGCTTAAAATAATTTCCTTTCTTTAATAATGGATATGCTTGTACAGATACATCATAAAAATCTAGCACTGCTTTTCTTAGATGATTCTTTACAGAACTGTTATCCTTACATAATACTGTCACGGCAGAGGAAAAATTCTGAATTATTATATTGTCACTGAATGCTGTTGTTCCTTCTAATTTTGTTTTTGTATATTTTGTTACATTGAAGTCTTTACTGGTAGCAAGTCTATTACAGAACACTATAAGTGGTGCTCCTATCATAGTTACTGAGCACTGAAATGACCAATGTCCAATTCTTTTTTGAAATGGAATTGTTGTATGGTGTATGTACAAATTCTGTGCAATATACAAGTAAAATTTAGTGGTATTATTTGATTCGTTTTTGAACAGCATCTCATAAATATTAGATAAATCATCTTTGATCCCAGATCTGGAAATTAACACTTGTTCCTCTTCTGACATTTCACTGACCCCAGATTTGGAAGTGAACATTTGGTTCTCATCAAACACTTCACTGACCTCAGATTTGGAAGTAAACACATGGTACTCATCAGATATTCCACAGACTCCAGAATTGGAAGTGAACACTTGTTCCTTTTCCAACACTTCACTGACCCCAGATTTGGAAGTAAACATTTGGTACTCATCAGACATTCCACAGACCCCAGACTTGGAAGTGAATATTTGTTCCTTTTCCAATATTTCACTGACACCAGATTTAGAAGTAAACATTTGTTTTTGTGCTGACATTTCATGTTTTATTTTTTCTTGTTCATTAGTAGTTAAGGATACAGAATTATTATTTTCAATATCATTTTGTTCTCTTTCTTTACATGTCATGGTATCTTTAATATTATCATACACATTACAGTCAAACTTTTCTTTAGAATAAAAGTTTTGTTTCAGCCCTATCCTCTGAACTTCAACCAGTGGCAACACAGATGATAGTTTACATACCAAATAACAGGAAATCTCTCTAGTTTCACTAGTAACTGACATAGCCTTAATCTCTTCTTTGACTAGCTTACCATCTTTAATAGCTACAATAGAACCTAACGGAACAATAGATCTTTTCATCAATCCATGGGAGAAACAGCAGCCATGAATGTAACACTGACAGGGGCAATCTTTTTCAATAAATAAAGATATGCTGTCAGTAGAGTCTTTAAGGTAGATAGTTCCATTTTCAGAAGAGTCCAAAAGTCCAATCAAAAGCTATAAAAAAGAAAACTTACAATGAATAAATTCAAATCTAATTTCTAAGTGCATCAAATGCAAATAATTTAAAAATACAAGTAACCTTAAGTGCAATAATATACATTATGCAGCTCTTTCTCACAGAATAAAAGTACAAATAATAACACTTCATCTATTTTTATAGTCAAAATTTACATAAATTATTTCAATCAGTTAAGAAAAACTTCTGCTACGACATATTATTACCGAAGATTTGTAATCAAAACTCTTTGATAAGTTCTACTTTAAAATTTTTGAAGGCCAAATTATAACTTAAATAAACACTTGACCACTTTTAGTAGTAAACTAATCAGTACATGAGAAAAAAAAAATTTGAGTGATGTTGATTAAAACTGAAATGCTTTTGTTTCTTTTAGTACAATTATGGTTAATTCCAATTGCAATGGCTTATTGGTAAAATGTACATTATCAGAATCTTTAAACTGGCTTCCAAAACACATACTGCTACCTCACCTAGAATCAGGTTCAAACTCTGGTGCAAACAGCATCTTAATAATATTACTTAGGTAATGAGTGGTGCATATTATTTTAAGGTTAAAGTAGCAGCAGTTACTTTTAACAGATTCTGCAATGGTAGAACTGCACGAGGAACAGGGTTACAGTACATTTGCATTTGTCATTATTAGGCCAAAATATTGATCTTGAGTCAATCCTACCAAAACAGACTCTCCACTCAAATTAAACTAAGGCTTAGGCATAACTGATTACACACTAGTCTACAAAAACCAGTTAACCAATAATAATGTTTAGCATATTCCATTCCTACATTATTGACTTTAAGTGTCATTTCTTTACTAGTTATTATTATGACCTGATGTTCAAAGTAATATTAAATTTAAAAAATACTTCTTTTATATCTAATTCAAATTTCATACCTTATAAAATATTATACAATGCATGTTAGATAATAGTTCATGTATGCAGAGAAGGTCATTAATTAAAACATATTTGATTTTCATCAGTTACAATAAGCTCAAACTCAAACATTACTCAGAAAGATACAAATATATATAAGAAAATTTATATTTCAAAGTTAAAGCACTGAGAATGAATAGCATTTAAAGCTGGGAAATTAGTAGAAGTTACTAATCAATTAATTATCAAACTCATTAATGAATTACATCCAACTAACTGATTATTCTCAGCTGAGACTAACATTCCTATTTTCAGTTTGTCTTGGGTTGTTTTAACCTTATATTGCATATTGTAACATAAAGGAAACAAATCTATCTTTGTTGCTTAATACACACATAAATGCTTCAGTTTTCTAGTTGAATGCTCTTACTTTCAGGTAACATTCTAAATAAACCATGGAATTATTTTAATTGGTTCCTCAATTGACCAATGTTACTTCAAGGTAATGTACCCATTTATAACTCACAAACACATACTATACAAAAACATATTTTGTGCAACATAGACCTATTTAAGTAGGAAATTACTCAAAGAAAACATTTCTTTCCACTGTATTTTCATAATGCTTGCAACAGAGGGTTAAAGACCTTTTCAAACTACCCTTGGTTTAATATGTTAAGATATCTTCAGGTACAACAATTTAGAATTAAGTTACTTTTATAATACTAAACTGTTGCACGTGAAAATGTATCATAAACACAACACAGTAAAAAACCTGTAACAAGCTTAAAATATCATTGATGCCATTCCATAAGTTTCTTCTTACAAATTTTCACAAGATGACTTAAAACTAAATGATGTAATTCTTTGTTGAAAACAATTGTTCTTAGATTTTGTGATAAAACCAGGAAAGATCCTTCTCAAAATGTGTAATAGATAATATATAATCAAGTGAAAATAAATTCACTCCAACCTAAAAGCAAAGACAGTAATTTTTTTACTATTTAGTAAGAAAACTTATTATGAACCTAGAGGGCCTCTTTGCAGAGATTAAAATGATTCATAAGGTGTAAATCAAAGTATTATAAGAAATATTAAAATCACGGTAATATCAAAGATATCTTACAGATGTTTCAGAATTGCTTTTTATAATTCCATCATCAATCCAAAAAACTTAAAAAATAATTAACAACTTTAAAGAATACAAAACATCATAAGCTCTTACATGAAAACTTATTGATACCAATGGAAGTTTAGAAAGAAACACATTAAAGTGATTAACAGGTTTATATTTTACTGGACAGGTTAGAAGAAACTGTAGAAACACATGAACATGCTAAGAAATGAATAAATCAAACAACTTATAGTTTATTGTACTTGACAATATTTAAGGGAAATAGGCCAACAGCCAGACTTTCATTTTCCTTTTTCAGTACTTCCTATCTAGCTAGAGCTTGTCATGATTAAACAGGAAATAGAAGTGTCGTTGTGGTAAATAGGTTAACAGCTTAATGGTGTTACATACTGTTAGACTGTTATTAGTTCACGTATAGTCATTCTTGATACGCACAGTTAAAAGAATAAGTTATTCAGCAATCAACTTTTTTGAATGAATAACAAATACTTACTACTAACTTGCTGTAAATTTTTTTATAAAAGCAGCCTTACCCTAAGTAACACTGGTCACATCTGTAGCTTGTAATAAGTAAGAAATGTATTAGTCCAAACAAGGTAAACATGAACAACAGGGATCAATGTGGGTAATTATATGGCAATATTTTGATTATTTGGATAACTGGAATAATCAAAAATAGAATTAATCAGAAACACTATAATTTTAATTAGTTGATTACTTTCATGACTTGTGACACTAATCAATTAAGAATAAACTTGAATTAAATAAAATAATAATGAAAAATTATAATTGCAATATTTTGATTGCTTGGATGCTTGAAATAATAAAAAACAATAGTAACTGGAAACACTAATTTAAATTAGTTGATTATCTTCACAACATTCTTTGATTTAATTGTAATTTTTGATCAATCAATTATTTTATGTGACAGCAATATCAATTACATCAATTAATCAAGTTAGTCCCTTGGCTTTAATAACATTAAATGCAGCTTCCAAGTTTAAAACCTTAATAATTTAGCTTTGTTAAAATCTTCATATGCAGCAAGTTTTCAATATTTGATTGTCAAATCGATATCAACAAGTACTCTTTTTTTAATATTAATTTTAAAAATTAATTTAAAAATTAATAATTGTTATAAAAACATTAAAAATTGTATAAGAGATTTCCAGGTGAACTTCATCCCACAGTTACATCTGGTTTAGTACCACGATCAACCAAACTGCAAAAATATGAAAAGTTCAATGACATATAAAAATAGCAGCATTTATTAGCCATTTTACATTTTTATATACAAGTTATCTCATCTGTCAGATGAAAAGACATTGTAATGAAAGAATGAGACCAAATTTATTCTATAAAGATATAAAAATCATTATGTTCAAACCCATATCAGTATTAAACAACATGAAAACACTGTTACAACGTGAAATAAAACACCAAGTTAGGTACATGTGATGGCACATCACCATGATGTCTTTTTATACCTTAATATTTTTAACTTGATTGTTTCATATTATTTTAAATACATAAACAAAAGATACATACAAGTGGTTTAGATGTATCTGATGAAGAAAAGGAAACAAAACCAAACTCCCATTCTTTTGTTTTTTTAAATACACTTCCTTGCTGCTCTAAAAGTTTAAATGCTTCCACAATTGTCGGAAATGAGATATTTTGAAAACAGATATCCTACAGAATAGAAAAAAAACTTATTGTTTAGTTGAAGAACCATTCATATTTCCAGTAATAAAAAGCATGTAAAAAAAACAACTATATTATCAAGTGTAATTTTTATTTGTAAACTATGAGTTCATATCCTTTATATTTTAAAGTTACAATGTATTCATGTTATGCAACTTCAAACAAATAACTTAAAATATCAAAAAATATTTACTTTTAATGATTTTTGTTCAGTGATGTATTTGTAAGATTTTCCAATGTACTAAAGTATAAACGTACACTACATACAATATCCTGCAGACAATATGTAATTTATATAAAAGATATTTTATAATCTCATTCATTTTAAGTAACATAAAATATTCTAACCAAACTTAAGAGATTTAATTAAATATAACAAATGGAATTCATACATTAGTAAATTCATTTCAATACCAATCATAACAAAACCAAAATGAAAAAGTACCCTAAGAGACAACAAAGATTATGAAAAAAAAATCAAACCAAGCATAACATAAACATTGCATCAATTTTTAAAAACAATCTAACACAATCTAACTATATACAGTTGAATACCTAAAAGAAATAAGTAATTAAAAGCATGAACAAAAAAGTAATACAAAACAAATTTCAAGACTAATATCAGTATGTTCTTTTAGGAAACTGGTTATTATTGAACTTGTTTTAGTTTAACTACTGAAACCAAGAGACCCCCACAGATATACAATGGCTTCTAAAGGTACAAATCAAGCATGTAACAGTAATAAAATTATACATCTGGACAGAAAGATAATATGTAACTATTTTTTCAAATACTGATTTGACTTGCTGGAAATGTGAAGGAAATTCAAAGGACCAACATATATAACATAATGAATGAAGATAAAATGTCAAAAATTTTTAAAAAGTACAAAATAAATAAAGGTATCTTCAGTGCAATTGTACAAATCAAAATAACAAGCACACAAATATAATAAATAAAAAACAAAAAAAGTTTAAATACAAGCTGATGAATAAAAAAATGTGATACTGTTTTAAAAAAATAAAAATGTACTATAAAGATCCTTTACGTTAAATGAATTAAAAAGTTTTACCATTTGATAGTAGACATAATGATTACAATGCTCACTTTAGAAGCAGGAAAACAGGAATGAGGTCTACTAGTTACTTCCTGAAGCACCAGTCTTTGAGTTAATTTAAATAATGGATGGCCATTCAGAAAGCAGGGGCATGAAGCAAGAGTAAAGAGAAAACTTTTTGCCCTGTTAATGAAAAATAAAAAGATAAGAATATATAAGGATATATCTTACAAAGATAAAGAAATCTTGGACACAGAAACTAAATTATTCTTTATTCATAAATGTTTCACCTCTCTTGAAAATATATTTATAAGCAATTGTGAATTTTTACAACAATTTTTAAAATTACATTATAATGATCTGTCATACTTAACATGAGCTTAGCATGCACTTAAGGTCAAGTTAATTCTTAAAAATTACATGTACGAGTTATTAGAATTCAAAATTTGTAATAACTATTAATTTGTATTTAAAATTTTTATTTACGAAAATTCTTAAAAAACCTAGGGGTTGAAGCCTCCAGCCCCATATTCAGCTATGTCCATGTTTAGTGAAACAGAAAAAAGTTTTCAGTCCAATTTGGTATGAAGCCAATTGATAAATATTCACTTAGAGAAGCTGATTCATATAAAAATAAATTTGTATTACAGAAGTTGAGCAAGTGACATTATAGTTCATGTTGTCATGTCTGGTCATACTCCATCTGAAAACTGTGCATTTGAAAAGAGCTTTGCAGTGTAGTTTCCACTACAAACAGTTCCTTCATAAGAGCATCATGTCCAAAGCATACCAATCCTTCCTACTGGCTTTCTGTCTAGTGTATGAGGCCAACAGTTTCAACAGTTCAATCACATAGAAATCCATAGGTGTTGCATCTGGTGACTTGACAGATATTTCTTCATATGGAATAGCATGAATACCCATTTCATTCTTCAGCTGCTTGAGGTAAGCAAATGTTGAAAGGATACATCATGGAAGCAACTTACGTACAGATGACTTGTGCTCCTTTTCCAGATGAAGATAATTCTTGATTATGTTGCATACTGTTATTTAAGGCAAGTAGACAGCTTTTGTCACTGATCTTTGTGTTCATGGATTCTCACTTGTTACAAGATGCTGCACTTTGCTGCTGAAGTATGACTTGTTACAAGTCTTTTTAGGATGATGCTGGTGCCCCAAGTTGTTGTATAATGCCTTTAAGTACAAAAGTTATCCTCATCTTGGAAATTTTAAGTCCCCAATCTGAACATACCTTTAATATCTGAGTGTGTGAATATTTTATGTCAAAAAGGTCAGTAACACTTCCCAAACTTTTAGTGAAATCACACTACAAGGGATATCCTCATATTGAAAATTCTAAATCCCCAAACTGAACACCTTTTGATTTGAGTGCATGAATATTTTACATCAGAAAGTAAAGTTACACTTTATAAAAGCAATGAATTTTTGGTGGGATCATACTACCTACAAAATGCCAAACAATGTCCAAATGCAGTTTTGATACATGCTGTTCCACTGGGACTTTATATCAACTGTGTTTGTCAACTGACTGGCCAATTTGCATATTCAAAATCATATTAATATAACATATAAAGTACTCTGTATTCTTATAATTTCACTTTTTGTGTGATATGCAGGCATAAGTTTTCTAACTGCTTTTAATAATATAAAACGTTTTTAATTTTTTCATTTAGTTAGTTTCCATGCAAGTTTAGCATAAACACATGGTCTAGAAAACCAATGAAGTTGCCTTGTTTGAGATGCCTTTTTTTCTTTCTTTTCTATAGCAGCTAACACCTACTCTGCTCAAGTGCATGTTGTGGTCTACTTCATTTAAGTATAAGAAGGGTCAACTTTGCCTGCAACATCCTCTGCTGGCCAAGTGGATGATGTCTGTATGTTACAGCCAGCAAATTTTGCAAGATAGCAAAAGTCTCTTTGCAGGAGAAATAAAACAATGTTTCTTTCAAAATTGAAGCATTTATTCTTTCTCAGTTCTACTTGGTTTTCATTGTGATTAGTTTGGCAAAGATTCATCTATGGGGATGGAAAGCTGATGATCTAATACTAATCCTCTATAGACAATTATGTACTTGTGTGTATGAAGGTATGCACAAAGTTTTTTTTTGTCTAAACAAAATTTGTTTTCACTGTCCATCAAATGTATCCAATCTGTCAATTTCTGATACAACTTATAACCTCAATGAAGTTTTCAGATTCACATTACACCCAACTTTCTAGTTTGATCCTACTGTTATTGAGTATGCCTATCTAATACTTTAACAGAAATCAGTTCACCTAAAAATATCACATCTGTATTCAATAGGACCTACAGTTAAAATATTTTGTAACATGTTGCATATACTAACTGTTTTTTGTTTTGGTTTTCTGTTATCAACAGAAAAATATTATTGTTTAGACATACATCTAAGCAAATGTAACCCTAGTCAAAATGGATTATTCAGACATGAGAACACTATGTGTTAGACCAGTTTGATGTCATGCACAAACTAATTAATTATCACAGACATGTATATTTGCAAAGATCACAATATTACATGAAATAATCAAATGTTGTTATGCTTACAAACTTAAGTTTTTAATTTGCAAATACTAGATCTAGATAATATTTATGGATGGATTATTATAAGTAACTTACATTTAGTTGTGAAATCAATTAATTCACCTAACTTAATGGGTAAAGCTACAGTATGAGAAATAAAAAAAATTTTAACCATCAAGTTCCAGACTTGTTTCTAAACTATTCACTACTGCTGGGAGCCCATATATTGCATCATATTAAGTAATTGTATATTTAGTCCTTTAAAAAACTCACTATACAGAACTGACCAAATATATTTAGATGAAATCAGCTGTTTTTTAAATAAAAAGAAATAATGGCCCCAGCAGAAATTAATGGAGTTAACTGTAGTATCAATGGTAATAATTTTTACATTTTTGTGTGACCCATAAGCAATTGGTGACATAAATAGTTTTAAAAAATGTTGTTAAAAAGTAATGAGATCCATACGCCCCCATGAGTAGTTTTTAAGATTAATATTGCAGATGGAAATCAACAGATCATAAGCCACAATTAAATTTTTTTATTTAAATTAACTGTTAAAGCAGGAACTATTTTCAAATACTTCTAGATCATGGACTCTAAAAAACATATGTGTTAGCAAAATTTAAACTATATAACTTAATGTCTTATTTTGAAATATGTTTATTAGTTATTTATAGTAAGGTTGGAAAAGTGTCTATTTTGTAACCATTAGTGGTTCTGAAAATATGCACTAAAATTAGCTGTCAAATAAAGTCATCTCATACAAAAGTGGCAGTAAAAAATATTTAAACCTGTTTTTATTCACAAGCTGGGATTTAAACAGTTCTTCTCTAGATATAACTGCAGGACAGAGTTTGTTTTCTAGTATTTCAGCTACCTCCACTAAAAAATCAAAGCTGTTCACATTCAACCCAAATTCCTGGGCCAAGTCTAGACAGGACAAAGCAAGAACTGATGTCTCCTTAGAGAAATAAAACAAAATAATTGTTGAATAAAAACTATGTCAAATATTTTGAAGTTAAAAGTTTAATTTTAAGTTGAAAGTATAATATCTTTAAATGATTAGCAAGTTCAAACAACCAAAGTTAACGTACTTCAGCATCTACATATTATATAAAAAAAAGATTACTGTGTACTTTTGAAAACGAAGTCACACAGTTAAACTTTTTTTACCCCACTATACCCAATTAAAATTGGACTTGACCCTTTTTCTTCCATTTTTGGAGTTATTAGGAAACAAAAAAATATTAGTTTGTTCTTTATTTCTGAGCTTGTTTCTTAAGTTGCAAACTGAATACTTATATTTCAGACTGATTTTCATATTCATCTAAATACACTTAACAGTTTTGTCACCTCCAGTCTAACAAAGAATTATTTATTATCTTAAAACTGGAATATGCTGTTTAAAACCTTAAAAAATAAATAATTTGTCAAGTCATAAGATCTGACTTATTCTTTCCACCAAAACTAAACTATACTCGAGCTTTATTATTTACATTCCTTCCAATGCTTAAGTAATGTTAACTTGCTAATCGTATAAGAAATTGTAACAAATTGTTTTTGAATATTATTTTTCAATTGCTAACTAGGGGAATGGTAAAATTAGAAACATACTAAATCATAGATTGGAGCTGGAAATTAATTATTATTATTAGACATCGGATACATTCAGTAAAGTACTTAGATAAAGTCTCTCTTTAATATAATAACTTTTCTTTGGGTTTATTTTTATTACTCTTTTTTTTTAACTTAAAGTTATTTTAAATATTTTTGTAAGTTATTAAAATTTTAAATCTTAGTTTTTAATAAATTGTACCCTAGCTGCTCTACAAAACAAAACAAAAAGTCACTTAAAAAATCCCTTTTGACTTTTACATCTTTGATATATAAATCTCTATCAAACATTTTATTGAAAGAACCATTTACCCCAGACACTTTTTCTTCTTCTGTTTTCTGAACAATCCTTATGGATGACAAACCACAAAGAATAAGTTTCTTTGTTTTGCACTGTAATAACAATATGATATTTTACATATGATACACAATAAAGACAAAATAACTTGAAAAGCACCAAAAATGGCACAACTGTATAATGAAACTTCAACACCCATAAACTTTGCTAAACACTTATACATCCTACATGCAATAGTTTTCTTAAGCCAAAAAAAGAAATAAAATAGTAACCTATTAATTATAATGATATCTTCAGTTTTTATAAATACAAACTACGAGAAAAGTTGAATGTTTCTTTGTTACTTTTATAAAATAGTTCTAAAATGTATATTGTAATAAAGTACCTTCTTATTATTTACAACAATTACATTACTTTTGTTGGTTGTAGTTTTTTCTTTATTATTTATAACAATTAGATTACTTTTTTTGGTTTTAATATTCTAATGTTTTATTATTTAGAACATCTCAAATTTACATTACTGTTTTTATAACATTTAGACTGCTTTTTTTGTTTTAATACAGTAATTGTCAAATTTCTCATATATCTTGAGCAATTCATGCCCAAAATTTTAATTTTTCTCACCTTAGAATCAGCCAGATGAACATTACACACTTGTATCTTGTCTCCTGCATCCAGGGAGGGTAGCACAGATATTCCTTTCATGAAGCAGGTATACAAAAGTATTTTGTTGTCTAGACAATATATGCCAAGTCCTGGGTTGGGAATATTACTTATCACTCCCTAGAACATCAACAAGTATTTGTCATTAGAAAATTAGTAAAGTGAATAACAACCACAATGAGAAAATGTGGATATTTCATATATTTATTTTTTAACAGATTACAACTCAATTTCTGCTTATTATTATTTCATTTGCAATATCATTATTTGTTTTGGGACAAAAAATTTAGGCTCAATGTTCACTTAGGTAGTTTCAAAGCAACTCTTACATTTTTAACCTTCAGCACTTAATATTCACAGTATGAAAAAACTATTAAAAAAAATAACCTTTATACACATGCACACATACAAGCATTAAAACATATATACACATACAGATATGTAAGTATAT